TAGAGAATGACCTTCCTGTTGGGAGTAGGTGACCTTTATAATGAAGAAGCAGTTTCCCACTGTTAACGCTGTCAGGAATAGGGTTGTGCTGTCATCATATCCATTGCCAAGTCTCCTGACTGTAATGTCAACTCCAACCCCAACCACTACTGCTGAGTTAGTGGCCTCTATTTTGTGTTCTAACATAGCATTAATCATTCTCCCATGTAAATATGTATTTACTTAAGTGTGTAAAGGAATAAGAAAGCCTATAGCCTCAGAGTCACCTCTCTTGTATAAAGATCCTTCAGATAATCATTATGTTTAGATAGTCTGTGATGTCTTAGAAATGCAAAATTGAGCACCGAACCAAATTTTATATTTACTATTTGGCAGACTATTTAACTATCACTTATATAAAATTTATTTGTGCTTATTGTTTATGCAGTATGCTCAAAAATGTATTGCCAGCAGTAGAACTCTTCAAATTCACAGAACTGGAAGTTAGTTTTCTAGAAACAGATTTTGAGTTCAGTATGAGATCTTTCTTAAGTCTATCCTAACATTATCGTTGTTTTTCCTTTGTTAAAAATAAGGAAAAGACGGGGGCACCTGGCTGGCTCAGTCGTGGAGCATGAGACTCTTAATCTCAGGGTTGTGAATTTGAGCCCCACATTGGGTACAGAGAATTCTTAAAAATAAAATCTTTAAAAAATATAATTCTAAGTTCAGTTGGCTAACTAGCAAATTCTTTTTTTTATTATGTTATGTTAATCACCATACATTACATCATTAGTTTTTGATGTAGTGTTCCATGATTCATTGTTTGCATATAACACCCAGTGCTCCATGCAGTACATGCCCTCTTTAATACCCATCACCAGGCTAACCCATCCCACCACCCCCCTCCCATCTATAACCCTCAGTTTGTTTCTCAGAGTCCATAGTCTCTCATGGTTTGTCTCCCCCTCCGATTCCCTCCCTTCATTTTTCCCTTCCTGCTGTACCTCTGAAACAAATAATACATTATATGTTAAAAAAAAAAAGAAGATAACCAGCAAATTCTACCAAATATTTAAAGAAGGCATAACACCATTCTTACAGAAACTATTCTAGAGAGTAGAAAAAGAGAGAACACTCCCTGATTCATTTCTAAGGCTAGCATAATCTTTGTAACAAAACTTGACAAAGACATTACAAAAATGGAAAATAACAGCTATTGTCATTCAAGAACACAGATGTAAAAATCCTTTTTTAATTTTTTATTATTTATTTATTTATTTTTTAAAGATGTTTATTTGAGAGAGAGAATGAGAGAGAGAGAGAGTATATGAGAGGGGGGAAGGTCAGAGGGAGAAGCAGACTCCCCGCTGAGCAGGGAGTCCGATGCGGGACTTGATCCTGGGACTCCAGGATCATGACCTGAGCCGAAGGCAGTCGCTTAACCAACTGAGCCACCCAGGCGCCCCACAGATGTAAAAATCCTAACCAATGTGTTAGCAGACCAAATCCAACATATATAATAGGGTAATAAAATAAGACAGGATTTTATTAGGAATGCAAAATTGGTTTAACATCCAAAACCAGTCAATGTAATTCACATATTAACAGAAAAATTATATGATTATCTCATAGATGCAGGAAAATTTGATAAAATTAAACATTCCTTTATGATAAACTTTTAATAATTTAGAAATAAAAGAGAACTCTCTTAATTGCTAAAGGGATATGCAAAAAACCTATCGCAAACATCATACTTAATGGTGAAATGTTGGAAGTTTTGCAGTTTGGGAATACGACAGAAGTGCATGTTCTCATTGTTTCTCTTTAGCATTGTGCTAGAAGTCCTAGCAAATGCAATAAGACAAGACAAAGAACAGGAAAAATGTGTTGGAAAGAAAGAAATTGAATGGTCATTATTATCTGCCAGTGGGATTATATGTACAGAAAATTCAAAAAGATTAAGATACACTATTAGAATTATGTATAATTAAATTATAGCTATATGATTATATAATATACATGTATATAACTATATGTATTTTTAGAATTAGTAATTATATATAAAATCTGGAATAAACCAAAGGACAGAAATATGTAAGACTTGTATAGAAAATGTAAAGCAATATTGAAAAGAAGTTGGTGACTCAGGTAAATAGAAGGATGCATCTTGCTCATAGATTGAAGATCAGTTTTGTAAAGATTCATCTCTAGATCCAGCCCAGCCCAGTCAAAACCTCAGCTGTTATTCCCATGTATTAGAATGGTAGGTCACCACAGTAAATAATCCCAATGACCAGACATATTTGAAGGAATTTTAATATTTTCCTATTTGGTAAGCAGTGATTGGTATATTTTTATTTTAGAAGTGAGGGGACTTAAATTACTTGGGTACCTCAGGAAGAAGTTTTTAGTAGTCATTCAGTTTTTACTTCTGTTGCGAAAATTGATTTTAAAGAGCAGTCTTGGAGTCAGAAGTCTCAAAAAGCTCTTCCTACAATCAATTACTTTGCCTGCAAGTTTTGTGCTGTCCCTAACCATATGTGGCTATTTAAATTGATCCTAGTCAATTCATTAGATGCCCTAGCCTCAGTTTGAGTGCTCAGTAGCCACATGTGGCCTCCTTTTGGATGGTGGAGATATTGACCATTTCTATCACAGAAAGTTTTACTGGACACCACTCCAGCAAGGCTTTGCACCTTTTTGAACAGACACCAAATAAAATTTTAGATGGACTGGGGTTGAGCAACTGTTCTAATTTACCACCTGCTACATTGGGTGGTCAGAAGTGGCCCAGCTTAAAGCCTATTTCACTGATTGGGTGTTTATTAGCAAGATACTAGATTTTCTGGTGAAGAAAATCAATTAGAGAAGAAATTGCAGTACAAATTTCAAACTATCCAACCTTGAGTTGTGGGATTATTGTTTACATCTAAGCAGACTTCTTGGATTAAGCCCTAAGAACCCAGGTAGCTAAGATCTTAATCATTTGAGAAGTTTTCTCATGGAGTTTGCCTCACAAAGAATTGGCTGAGGCCCAAGGGGATTCACATTAAGCTTAAGGAATGGAAACCCTGAAGGACTGTAATAGATTTTTGCTGCTGAGATTCAGCACTTGATGAATCTGGCTCTTTTGATTAGAGAGCTCTCAAATGGTAATTTTTTCCTTACCTTTCCTAACTTTTTTCTTCCTTTCCTCCTCTCATCACATAGCTAATATCCAAGTATACAAGAAAAGTGGTTTCAGAGTGGTCTGGATTATGTAAGGAAGCTTGTGCAGCTGAGGTTCTGCTGGAAGCTAGGTGAATCTACAGCAGTAGATGGGGAATTATGAGGGACTCAAGTTAGAAACCGATTGCATTGGATGCATCTAAAAGCATGGTGTAATCATCCACAAACTGGCTGCTCTGGAAGACAGTGTTTTGGGAGGAAGAGTCAGCTAGATAAAAGGACTACATAATGGGGGTGTAGGGCTGGGGGGACGGGTTGTATTTATTGGGGCCTGTTATATCATTCTAGCTTCTCTTTGTCTAGGAATTGTGAAAGCTTGTGATTTATTGCTGGAACTTTGATTCAGAGTTGCTAAGCACCTGCTTTCGTGTTTCAGGCTGTAGGTTTGGACCTTGGGGTTCCAGAGCCGAAACAGAGAGCCAGTGCTCCATCTGATACGGGAGACAATGTTCACAAATAATTACCATATAGTGTTATTCATACGTATTCAGAAGATCCTTGAACATCAGTTTAGTCTGATTCCTTAATTTTCTACTACAGGCAGCTGAGGCCCGCCCAGAGCAGGAAGGAGCCTGGTTTAAGTAATGCCAGAACTAGAACCTGGATTTTTTTTTTTTTTT